CTGGCATAGAATTAATCAGTAGACTTGTGCCTCAAGCTTTGGGCAGTGCTCCGGCTGCTGCGTTAACCTGCCGCCGGCGACGCTTGCAACATGCAGCATTGCGCAGTGATGCAGTGCGCACCCTCGATTTACATATTCACCGCCTATTGGAAGCGGCAAAGTGCCGAATGCGCTTCATTAACTTTTTGACTTCGCTTGCATTCAATTTTCATTTATTTTTTTTATACAACGAGAATTTTGCGCATTTTAATGAGGTCACGTGTAACGCAAAACTGCAGGCCGACTACCGCCACTGTTAGGCGTCTGCCACTGTTCATCCGCATATCCTTCAGCTGTCAATAGCTTGCGATCGATGGATGATGACGTTTGAATTATTTCGAGTGCGCTGCCGTTTTTATTACCAAAACAAAAAACCGCCTCGCAACGGTTACAAAGACACAGCCGCTTGAAAACAGTTTGAGAGTCTCTTGGGTACTTGACTACTTTCTCTGTTCGATTGGTCTATTCTCAAGTGCTTTTGTCATAACTGTTGTGGCTTTCTACTAAGTAAAGTTGTTCCTTTTTTTTTTTGAAACACTTTTGTACATCAAACAGATGTCTTCATATGACTACAATTGAGAGCAGTGTACCCATGTGGCGGACTTGAAGATTCTGCATGTCCTTTTCGGTAACAGTGAATGCGCAATTCTTATTATTCAATCGTAATAATGGTCCGAAATAGTGAAGTCGCGTGAGATTTTTATTTGAAAGTCTTTCTTAAATGTCACTTCATCAAATTTCAAAAGACTACTCTACGCTCTTGCGTATAAGAATGTGCAAAAGCAAAAAGTATTCATTCGACAACGAAAAATATGAAATAAAATTGTAATTCACCGTAATAGCGAATGTATTTAGTTTTTTTCGCAACTACCCCATTTCGACACGCACCCTCCCTCTAACAACATTTACTCCACACGCTGGCGAATCATGCATTCATCATTCAACACCTCACAACGATAACGTGTTGAGGGTGCGATTCAACGCTGTTGCCCGCTACTGCATTAGCGTTGCATTCGCTCATTATCCTGTCGCGCCGCTTTCAACGCGGATTTATGTGCGAATCATTTTGAGTGGCTGTCATTATGCGGCAGATGAGATTAAATTTGTACACATAGTAACTTTGCGCTTTTAGGAACAAAAAAAGGCACCAGCGCAGGATTGTTATAACAACAAAGCGCGCAAGTCAAGTGGGAGTCGACACACATAATGAGATTGCCGATAAGAGGCAATTTGGTTTTTATACGCCAGGCTAGATTTTGAAACAATTGAAATTAGGTGAGAAAACTTTCCTGCACGTACTGGTCGATTGCTGACTTTTCTTGCAGAAATAGTGAAACTTAAATGTTGTTTATTGGGTTTGAAAAGTTGCTTGGGATAAGTGTCCTTATCGCTTTCGCATCTTAGAAGAGTTATTTCTCCAAACCAAACGTTTTACTTTACTTTACATAGATATGGTTTAAAATGTATCCCCCATAAGTATTTTAAAGATCTTGGCATCGAAAAATGGCAGGAAAATAAGCTAGAAGAGGTTTTACAATCAGATATATATAAAAATCCATCTATATACAGTACAGAGACAGGAAATAGAGTAAAATATTTCATATCAGAGATACATTTGGAGACTCTACCATTTTTACCCCTTTCGCACAGAACTGGCAACGAAAATCCCCAGATGGTAATAGATTAGTACTTCAAATCACTAGTCCATGCCGTTTGTCTATAGCTCCTGACTTTGTTTTCTATTTGCCTAGACGTTGTTGACATCATCAATGTATGCTCTAAATATTTGGCAACTAAAATTAGTTAAATGCTAAATGTGCGGTTTGTATGCATGTTCAGTGTTAGCACTTAAAGGTTATGTCCTGCAAAACTCCATATATTTGAAATATTGGCATTTACATACACGAAAAAACCTGAAACAGAACTCGAAGAACAGGAAAACAATGCAATATTTTAATGTAACATATATACAAGTAGTTTGAGTCAACTTTCGCTTGGCAGGGTCTACATTCGCGCTCAGCAGGATATTAACGCTGAGAAGGGGCGTGTGCGGCGGAACATCCTCAAATATGCACATAAACAAACGGTATACAAAATGAATTATAATTATTAGATTTTGCTTACGTTCACCATCCACCAACCTGGCACTGAGTGCTTTGAGCTGCAGTATGTTGACAATAAAAAAGGGATTTGCATCTTGTTTGCTTTTCTAAAGCGTATGCAGCAACAACTCCACGTCAAAAATGGTAGAATTAAATATTTAGGCAAAGTGCTGGCAGGACACTCTTCTCGTCGCTCACAGCAGGGTGCGCGGGCGCTGCATACATGTTTCGACCTTTGTTTGCATAATATTTGCCAATATATAATTGCATTTTGGTTACTTTCACTCGGCAGCAGCACTCCAATGACCAGCTTATGAAGCAAACAACGCAAGCTCATAAGCCTATGGAAGTGTACGGATGGGGTTCGCGCAGTTGTTTGTGGCTGTGAAGATTCACTTTCTCCGTAAGCATCTAAGCAGATTTGATTAGCAGCATGGAGGCTGGAAATAGTTGCCTAGTGACACATCCGGGGCAGATTAAAAATTAATTGGAGGGATCCAGGGCTGCTGTGATTGAAAGTAAACGAAATGTGTGGTAAAGATAATTAGGGCGGTCTGTGTAATAGCAACAGCGAGGCACAGATTATGGTAACGGAAATTAAATGTTTTGTGATTGAAAACTGTTTAAAGCAACAGAATTTAGCAATTTTTTGCATTGGAAACAAGTTTAAATATTTTCGATAAATCACCATAAACGTACCCAAAGGATAATGTTTTAAACCAAAGGAGTAAAAAACTTCGAAAGCATGCAAACAATCGCCGAAAAACCTTTATGTGTTCATGTGTCTGCCTAAGTAAATATTGTCCGCAAGGATACGCTTTTGTGTTCAAATAAACACCAATGACAAAACACACTCACATGAAGAATGCGCGAATATGCATTGCAAAGCATAGCGTAGTGCGACTATGAACTGGATTTACGCTGAACATTGTGGAATAACTAAATGAAGCTACCTACATAGGTTATAGCCGCAGATGCTTCCTTAATTTTGCAAATTACAAACTGCACGCCGAACTCCTTTCGAATTTTCGCGCAGCAATTGGTGCAACGTCAGCCGTCAGCCATCAGTCGAAGAAACTCGTAAAATTGCCCGCGGCAACGACCGCAAAGGTGCAGAGGCAGACAAGAATCAGTCGTTGCTTGAAGCAACTGCGCAGCATAAAGGTGCAACAGCGAAGCAGCGGAAGCAAACGGCCAACCTTGGCAACCAGTATTGTATGAATTAAAATCGAAATTAAATCACGCCCTGTCACTACATAAGCGGAAGAAAAAAACAACAAAACGTACATGTACGCGTAGCGTGGTTAAGGATGCACAGCTCTAAGGGGGTACGAATCCAAAGAGGCAAGCAAAATCTCAGAATACCGTTGCCTGTCAAATAAGTCGTCGTTCTAACTCAAGACGCGGAATATGCCTTCAAGCGACGACACAGCTGATTCAAGAAGTAGAAGCGCGCGTTTCGGCAGCTTGATTGACGGTATGAATGAATTATCTAAGTTAATATCAATTAAAATGACAGCATCTGTGTCAATTTGCGGTTGAAGCTATTTTATCGCAGTGAATTGTTATGGGAATTAATTATCAACTAATGACGCGATTTGTCAAGGAAGTGAACAAAGATTGACTTTGGAAGAGCGCATGAAGTATTGAAGATTCTAGAAATTTGTTACCCTGTTCATGTTTTGGAACATTTCCAAATTCGGTGGAAACACCTTGCCTTTCTGAAAGCAATTATTCAACTAGAAAGGTGACGCCTTCTGATCCACAAATCTAATTGACCAATTGTATATTCTATCAAAAACAAACACAAGTGCAGGTTTCAATCCTCCGAAACACCACCGGTTTCGCGGCAATGCCTTAAATCGTGTGGCAATTCGCAGAGGAAATTCCAATTTGTCAGTAACTTTAGACAACAGCCACGTGCGCGATTGTAGGCAACAACCACACCTACTACCAACAGCAACGCAATGCCACTGAACTCATGCAGCAAACAGAATTCTAATCCAAATCCGTTACGCATTTGAAACAAAACAAACCCTCGGTATGAGGGGAAAACCCGCAGAAACTACGAATTATGTAGACAAGAAAAACCTGTCGTTGGAAAAACAGGATTACGTAGCAGTGAATGTGATGTTACCAACAAAAGTGCTGGTAGAAAATTGAATTATTGTGCGGCGTGGCGAAGACAACTGAAGGCGTTACAGTGCCAACAAGTGTCGCACTAATTGATCGCCCGAATTTGGTGACAGCTGCGCAGGCGCAGGCATAAGGAGATGTGCTGCTGGTACGCGCAACAAGCGAAGTACTCAAATAAGGAGTAACTGGAAAAGTGAAATAGAACAGTGTAAGCGTGCCAACAATTTTTATGCATAGCTGTGCTAACGGGAAGCACCTGAGCGTCAGCGTTTGACGGATGCTTGTTTGCATTAACGAGCCTACGTAAACAACTGCGTTAGCTAATTGATAGGCGTTGCATGTGTTGAAAGGCTCTTACCTACATTTTACTGTTACCTGCTACAATTATAAGCTGTTACATCTAAGTCTTTGCTCTAAAGAAACCGAAGTAAATGCGGGCGGAAACGACAAAGAGCTGAAAACAGGATGTTGTAAAATTCCAAATATGCACATACATACATATGTATACTCGTATATACCGTGCAGTCATATATCCGTGTTAAATGCGAGACTCGTTGTTTAGGTGCATGCGCTGATCCCAACATGTAATTCTAAGACGCTCAAATCATATTTGCCTAAAAAGTTGCTTTGAAAACTAGTAGATCATTCATTTCTTGGCTAGGTCGAGAAGAACAACTCCTGATGCATATAAATAGTGATTTTTGTCACATTTATAAATTTCTTCTTTTTTTTTGTGTCGAAAAATAATGTAAATACATGCAAAAATTGCATTGAATTTCTGGAAACCCGAGCTATGTAGAAAAAGTATTTCTCTTTATCCACTTTTCTAATGTGAACAGCTGCGTATTTCCACGCCCTCACTAAAACATTTTAAACCTTGCTCTTTACTTTCGACATTTTTCGTTCGTTTAACCCTTGTCGTACAATAAACAACCTGTTTCAGTAATAAAAAAGTTATCGTTTTAATTTTAACATTCCTTCGCAACTGTTTTATCAAACCTTTAAATAATCAATTTGTGTCTACGCTGAAAAGCGGAAGAATAGAAGGGTTTACCACCGGCAAAGCATAAATTAAATTTCTGTCAATACTTTTTAATTAATTCCCCGCGCTTTCAGCTGTTGAAGTTATTAATCTGTTGTTCAGACATTGCTGGTAAACGTTTTTTTCAAGCCATTCGGAAATTTAAATTATTATATGAGAGTAAAAAATCTTGAAAAAGAAACAATTTTCTTTCTGCATATAAAATATATTTATTTCAAGCCCCAGTGCATTCACAATATATTGATGACAGTGATGACGATTTTTCAGACCGATGATGATGATGTATGTATGATAACTCATTAAACAAAGAATATAACTTAAAAGTAAATATTTACTACATAATTTAGTTAAGAAATAAAAATAAATAAGTTCCTTAAAAACTAAAAGCGTAATAAGTGAGCATTTCCCCTAGTTTGTCAACAAATTAACAAAAAGTCGAATCTTAAACAGAAATAAATTCGTACAACAACAACAACTGCAATAATATTATACATAGATTGAGGGCAACGCCAATCCCACCTCGAAATAGTTGGTGCCTGAAGTTTTCAAACGTTTCGTACTACCGATTGGCACTGCTAACGTTTTACGCCGTTGTCGCTTTCTTTGCATCGGCAGTCGCACGGGCGTCTCCAACTGAAAGGTGTGGTCCAATCGTTCTCTACTTAAGTTTGAGCGCAGGTAATGATGTTGGTAGGCAGGGTTAGCATCGGTTCTCGAAATACTTGTAAATGCGGGCGTGGGCATTTTTTGAAGAATATCCGTCGATATTGGCGTGCCTGGTGGAGGAGTTGCTGGAGCCGGAGTAAGTGGTGATTTGGTGGTGCTCTCTGTTTTCATCACATCCTTTGGCCTCTGGTCGATGAAGTTAAAGCTGAGATCACTCGCTGGATCTTCGCCTGCAGCATAGGACGGTGAAAGAACCAATTCACTGACTTTTTGTTCGGCTTGATTTTTGAGTAGCGTGCGACGACGCAGGTTAAAGGACTTGCGTGGTTTCACCTTCTTCTTCTCATCCTTACGAGCCGAGTCTAGAATAGCATCAATTAATTTGTCCAGAGTTTGGTCGCTCATACCGGCTGAATGTGACTCGTTGTTTATGCGCTTCGTTAACTTTTCCTCGACACATTCTTTTGCGATCTCAGCAAAATCGGCTTCCAGCTTTCTGGGCAATGATTTTCCGGCGCCCTTTAGCTTCTCTTGGTTTTCCTTTTGTTTCCGTTTTGCCAATTCGGGTGTGTTGAAGTAACGTAAATTGCTTATAAAGGGATCTGGCAGTAGTCCCCTTAGAGCTACTTGTTGTCCGGTCGGCAGCGCGGTACTCGGTGAATATTCCTCTTCGAAGTGTGGCAAGGTAGATGCGTAAGTCGGTGCCGGATGTAGAAAAAGACCCACTGTTGAATGCCGTCGGTTTGGCAATGGGCGACTAGCTACACTCGTGCTTTGAATTCGTCCTGGCGTATGCTCCATTAAAGGCGACATGTGTTTTGGTGTGACATTCAAAATATCCGTTAATGGAGAAAGCACCAAAGGGCTATTACGCTCTCTCTCCACCATTGGAGTTGACGTATATGGTATGTTCTCCTTGTTACTTATGGTTGCACGTCGCCGTCGACGCTTGGTCTCCGCTAATGGATGCGGAGTTCGTATCGATGTTGTAGCCGTTTTGATGTTTGGTGTAAGCTGGTTCAGCTTCTGCGCTGATGCCGTCCACTTTAGCATATTTTTTGTTTTCTAATATTATTTGAGCTCCTGAACGTTTTGTTAAGAAATATGCTCTCGTTCACATTTGCTGACAAACTGATTAGTCAACGCGCGCAAAACCGCTTTTATACTCGCCGTGGCCATTAACATAGCAACCCCGTTTTCTTTACTAAAAACCGACCTCTCATTGCGTAAAGCGCTCTTTTCGTTGTAAGTGAAGAGTCAGCGCTCTTGAAGTCATGAGAATACAGACAAATGTTATTGTGTAACGACGGAATTCTGGGTGCTCTCGGCTCGATGAGAGCCGTCTAGCAACAAAGGACATTGCATTGTTTGTGGCTATTAGCTTCTTTGGTGCACCTCTGCGTGTGCGCCTTTTCTCATTTCCTTATGCTCTTCCTGCCAGGCAGCGCGATAAAATCTTGTGATTGTTCGTTTGGACTCTGACACATTCCTGCAGTTACAGCGGCACATTGAAAGTCCTGTATATGAGAAAGATCGTATCGTGGGTAGTTAAATGTGAAAAAATTAGGATGACAGAGGAAGTGGTTTTCCTTATTTTAGTTAGACTATAATTTCTACTTTACTGGGGTGTCAAGATTTTGAAGCAGACCGCCTCCTGTACAGTTTGTCAAGTTTGTAAGGGTAACGGAGGCATGCAACAGTGCTTTTGCATGTTAAAATGTTGTTAATATATTTTAAAAAAAATTTCTACTCGGCAGTGACATTTATTAAAGCTAAACGGGACACTTGCTTCCTGCGACGATTTTGATCAAAGGTCCACTGAGTGCGACAGGTTGTAATGTCTAGTAGCAGTCGTTTCACGATCGAATGCAGTGACTTTAAATATACAATTCTTCTTCTTCTGTGACCAAGCAACAATCGCTGGTCAGTTCTATTTAATTTGTTATGTTAATGTATATGAAATATCAAATCGTAGTTAAAGCTGAATAACTTGTCGAGTTTTCTTCTTTCTTTCTTCATAAGTGCAATTTTGGTGGAACTACTTAAGTAACCCCATATTTGCTGCCTGCGGAGAGTAAACCTCTTATTAGAGCTCATTACGAGTTTTCTTAGTTTTTTTAACGCCATAGAATCCTTCTTTCCACACCATTTGCCAAATAAATTTCGGTTGAAAAAAACTATCTAGTTTTGCCCCGCACTTTAGAATATTTAGTGTGTTTTGTTTTCTTGTAGCACAACTTACTTTAAAATGTTTCAACAACAACAGTAAAAGACAAAATTTACATAAGAGTCCTTCAAAGGCATATTCATACTTACGCACCCATTATTATATGCATATGTATGTAAAAATCCATATCTTTGGTTAATTTCATGTACCTTTGCGCTTTTGCACATCTTTAGTAGAAAAATGTCCTTTCTCGACGAGCGCATTGGTTACGGATTGGATTTTTTATGAGCGGATTTGATTTTTTAGAGAATTTTGAGGACCGAACAAACCGCAAAGTAATTGTAGACAGGCAATTAGCAAGGTTTTCAGTCGTTTAACGTCGATTCACACAATTCAGTGATTTTCCAAGACATTTCCATGTACAGTCTTGCCTTGAGAAAGTGAGTTTGTGTGATCTGTCAAGTTGAAGAAAGTAAACAGTGGGTATTATGTTCTGTTATTTTAAGATAAGATAGGAAATGACTAATTAAAAAAGTAGTAATTTAGTGCATCTTGATACATGCAGTCGTTTAAAAACACGTGTTTATGTGAAAAAAGGTTTTAAAACTTTATTTGTAAAGAGAAAGTGTCAAAAAGTTTTGCGCAATAAGCTGTTGAAAGGTGTTGCGAATAGCGCTAAAGCGCTATGAAAAGCCGAAAACAGCATTTAAGTTCACCCTTTGAATCGCCGCTACATTACATCGCAACCACATCATCGCATTAATACGCTAAAAAGGGATTAGTTTTTCCAAAGTAATGTAACAAAAATGTCAAACAATGAATAATGTGATTTTGATTAGTTATCCTTTCGACTTTTCGTAATATTGAGCATATTGTAGCAATGCGTTGTTGCCATTTCCATTTCGCAGTAAAATACAAATAATTGAACCGCTTACAAATGTAAAACAAACGAAGAGTATATTTTGTGTGTATTTTGTATGTTTTGGGCATTGTGTTTGAATATCCTTTGAGTATGTGCCGATCCACAATCCTTTGCTCTTTGGCTTATCGATTTGAATTCGCAACAATATTTGAGTGCGGAAATGATTAATTAACAAACGGTTAAAGGGTGGCACGAAGTGAGTGCTCTGCTTGTGGTTCACATTTTAGTTGTATTTAGGTATTGTAAGCGGTTTGCTATTTTAATATTGATTTTTTAAATGAATGATTTATAGCCCGAAAAGATTGTTAATACGTGACACTCTGCGACGTTATAATCATATACAATATTTTGAAATCATTATTTGTAATTTATAGAGACACATATGGAGCAAGAAGTCATGCTATCTCAATTTTATTAGTTCTTCGGCCTTTATGCTTTTTGCCTAAAGAATAGATAAACTCTGACCATTGTCCAACAACTGTTCGCATCTCACCAGACGGAAGTAGAAATATAAAAGCGTTTTGGAAAACTATTTTCTATGTGTTATTCTATTATATCAATTTATATTTATTTTACTGCTGGCTTCTAAAAGTGAAACAATCAACGCGAAGAGTTCTCCTCGTTTTACTTCCTGTTCAAGCGGCTGCCAGTGATTATTGTCGCCAACATTTTGGCCTATCCGCTCTGCCAAATTACAGTGCAGAAGTGCTGCAAATATTCTTTTGTGCCTCTGAATGTCATGTTTATGCTCATAACTTTTCGCACTAAAAATCGAACAACTGACAGGCTGGAGCAGGACATGCAGCGGCTGAGTGCCTGTCGTGCGTAAATCACAGCAGAAGTTGTACTTAGACAGCTAGTGCTGCAAACAGACAAATCTTTGAAATGAGAACAATAAGTACGTAATGAAAACTCGAACACACAGTCAAGCACCCTACACGAACTAGCGAGCAAAAGTTGAGTGGAAGGAAGTGCTGTGTTTGTAGCAAACGGTATGCGATCTCGGCAACCACACACATATGCATACACAAATACAACAGATATAGCGCAACAATGCAGTTATTGCAAATAATTTAGAGCATCTTCCTTTAGGTTAATTTCCACCTTTAGCGTAGCTACACATCTTCGCAGGCTTGTATGCTGCTCTTAGTCTGCCCGAACAAAGGACAACGTTAATGAAGTTGACGATCAACAAACGAAAGGATAATTTCATGTTGCTATTGCAGCCCCATCGTAAATTCAAAGCGATTTGGCACAAAGTAAATTGCAATTTATGTGCGACAGTTTGCACGACATTCTTCCACCCATCGGCCGAGTGCAAATCTGTGCGACGTCATAAAAAATAGCAATTTCAAGTAATTGAAAATCGGTAATTGGTGGTAGGCTTGAAATGCACTTTCATTTGTTGGTTAAGTGAAGTGGAATGAACGGGCGCAAAGGAGGCGAGGTTGCTTAGTAGTTAAATTAGCAGTTCAAATGGAGGACGAACTTGTTTCATGGGAACTAAAGCGATATTTAACTGCTTCTTAACGGCTGTCTTATACACCGACGTTGCATGATGTGCCTTTGTAAGTTTACCCGTTGTTTTTATGCTCTCTAACAAAATAGGTGCCATTAGTGACTATTTTTGTGTTTCTTAGTAAGTCCTTCAACCCACATAACCACTCGTTACGGGCGTTCAACTCGTTACGGGCGTTCAATGCCTTTCGGAAGTCACTAGCAATTTTACGCTTTTCACCCGTTGCACGCCTGTCCACACATTTTTGCATTCCCTAAGCGACAGCATGCAATGCATACAAATTGGCAATATAATTTATTTGATTTTCGGCAAAGAAAGCAATCCAATAAGATCGCAACAATATATAGTAAAGCAGCGCAGTTTCCGTAGGATTTTCATCGTCTTTTGCTGAGATTATGCAACTGGAGCAGCGACCGTTCGACCATAGCAATGGCAAAAGACAGCTGTTGCCTTTGCCAAGACGAGGAAATGTAGCGAAAAATTGCGAGGACACTGATGAAAATCAGAACCGGGCTCAGTAGGGGTTGGCGTTAAAGGCGACCGACTTATGAGTTTAGTTACCGCAGCAGCATCCACGGTGTGCAATGTGTGAGTAGCCTTTGTACAAACGTTACGTTAGTTAAGATGACCCTTGCCACTATACAGCTGTCTTACTGATTTATTTCTTATATTTTTCTGCAAAAAAGGCGTCTGGGCTTGCGCGGTCTTCGCAAAGGCATTGCAATTGAACTTATTGGCGTGCTTTGAGTAGTTCAGCGTAAATCAAATGCTGTACACAGCACTCAACATTAGTTGCCCTTACAAATGCTAATACAAAACGTTAATTATTACAGCTCAACTGCAATTATCCTGGTATAACAGCGGTTCGTTTCATATTAAAATTAAAAGACTGTGAGTATTTGTCGCATATTTTTTGTACATAATCCTTTCTAGTAAATACCGCTATTGGACAAAAGTAGGATAATATAATACGATTGTTCAAGATTTAACACGTTAGATTTCGGGTTTCTTCTGTCTTCAATGAAAACACAAACAAACACAGTATCAAGCAAACGTACAAATAGAAAAGTGTAACAGAAACAAAATAGAAAAGTCTTTGCACCTTTTTGTCAATTTCAATTTATTCTGCAACTGCTTAGTCCCATTTAGACATTTTTACATAAATACATATATATAATATATAATTCATGCGGTAGTCGTCATAGTTATGACAGCTGTCGTATGCACCTAAATTGCCAACAACAATCGATAATCCCAAAAATCTGGCTTTTCAATCAATTCATAATATTTTTTCAAACAAGCTTGTTGTTGCAGGCGAAAAACCTCAAAGAATATGCATACGAACGCAGGGATTACTGTTTGTTCTGGCGGTTAGACGCATTAAGTCGCTTGTCGCATGTCACTCACAATTACACACGTGCATATATTATTTTAGTTTCCTTACATTTATATTGACGAAGAAAGCGGTGTGGAAATGTGGTCACCAGCCAATAAAGAAAACAAATAAAACTTTCTTACGAATCCTTTGCTTGCGATCGGTCTGCTCGGCTGACGCCTCGCGGCCAGACAACTGCATTGATAACTGTCCCGTTTTACGTTGTTGAGCGTAAAATGTCAATGATGTGTTTTGAAATGTCAAAATA